TAATAATAATAACCACACACACACACACACACACACATATATATATATATATATATATATATATATATATATATAATATATATGTACATTCCTATATATATAAACAATTCACGTACCTCCGTGGCGGAATCGATATATCCCTTAATATCAAACTCGTAGGCGATGGGATGGATTGCCCATGAGAGCACAATGACTGAGGGCTGTGCCATCTTCGTCAACGGGACCACCAGAGCCCAAAGAGTGTGCACAAACTAACCATTGCAGTTGAAGCAATAGTCACAAGTAGCTTAAGAATATGCATAGGTATGTTTAGCACTAGTCATGTGTAGTTTAGGAATTGATTGAGTGTACGTCTAACATTTAGAAAGAATTGATCACATGGTATTTGAGGATGAATTGGTCAAATAGATATTTAGGATTGAGGATGAATTGGTCATGTATATGTTTATAGTTTTGAAAGTAATAGTTCTGCAAATGATAAGGATTCAGTATAATTGGTTTACGGAGGCTCATGTGCTCATATTCTAACGCGCACGTCTCAGAGTCAGTGTCCAAACACATAAGACACACATAACACACATATGACACAAACGGTACACATAAGACACATACGATACATATAAGTGACATACAACACACACAAGACACAGACGACACACATAGGACACATACGATACATATAAGTAACGTACGACACACACAAGACACACACGACACGCGTAAGGTACATACGATACATATAAGTAACATACAACACACACAACACACATACGACACGCATAATACTCATACGATACATATAAGTAACATACAACACACACAAGGCACATACGACACGCATAAGACACATACGATACATATAAGTAACATACAACACACACAAGACACATACGACACACATATGACACATACGATACATATAAGTCACATACAACACACACAAGACACATACGACACGTATAAGACACATACGACACGTATAAGACACATACGATACATATAAGTTACATACGACACATAAATGACATACGACACACATAGGACACAAACGGCACACATAAGACATACGATACATATAAGTCGCATACGACATACATAAGACACATGCACACCCACATATATGCGCTGAACATTCCACCACACAATATTTATGCAATCAATCATGTGTGTGCACTCATTAAACAAACATACATCGATAAGCCTATCCTCCAGTCTACCGCCTGTTCACATATTACACCTACACAATCCGGATACCTACCACCTGTTCATACACTCCACCTACCCTATCTGGATATCTCCTGCCTGTTCGGGTGTCTGAGTCAGTGAACGCACTCAGCCCATCAATGCGAACGAGCCGCGAAAACGGCGCAAAGGAGATGGTCACGTTGGCAAGGGGCCACGAATACACCGTCACTTCGTAGTGCACACGCTTGAGCAGACTCTGCAGACTTGGATCAAGGTACCTAACCTGAGGACGAGAGAAGGACCTGGGGATGAGAGGTATGTGTAGGTATATAATTGTGTATGATACTGATTATGGCTAGAAATATATATATATATATATATACATGTGTTGGTGTGTATTTGCTTGCGTATGATGTCGGTTATGGCCACAGTATACAGGTATTGGGCATAGTACGGATGGCTGGAATTGGGCTATGAACACCCCGTCACCTCATAGTGCAACCGCTTGGATATACTCTGCAGACTTGAATCAAGATATTCGACTCTAAGTAGGTAAGTAGATAGGTATATGTAGTTGGGCTAGAGAACGAGATACAAGTGGCATGTGGACATGCCTTTAGCTAGTTTCCGACACTCCACGCAGATGAGTGGTATATTATAAGTGTAGACAGGTAGTTCTAGGGTCATAGAATTCAAATGCAGGTATCTCCCTGAGCATGCGTACGAACACAGACATATTGGGTATAACCTAATTTTACCAATGTAGTATGGAACGTTGGCTTGAACCACTCATACACAACCGTTATCTAGTGCACACTCTTTGACGTCCTCTGTACATTTTGAGCGAGCTCCCTAACCTGTACGTAAGCAGGATATGTAGTCAGTTTAGAGCCATATATATGAGTGTGTGTGTGTGTTTGTGTGTATGTGTGTGCATGTTTCTTACCAAGAGTACTTGGCCCTTTTCGCCCAGCTCTTCGTCTAGGACATATCTCATAGTAAATTTGAACATCCAGCGATCAATACTATCGCCCATGTGGTGCAGCCAACTGTTGCGTAGGTGGGCCGCAGGGAACCATTGCACCCGTTTTCCAGCCAGGTAGTCCTTCCACATGTATGTGGAGTGCAGTGGGTGCTCATATGCCCACCCACACAGAGTGGGATCGTTGAACTTGGGCACGTGACTGTATGCTTGGGGGATAAGCACATCGTAGATACCTAGATAGGACAGCAGGGCGAGAAAGAGATAAGTTTACACGTGTAGTTGACAGTGTATATATATGTTGTGTAACAGTGTATGCATATGTAGTATGACAGTGTATTTATATGTCGTAAAAACGTATATAAATATGTATAGAGAACGTGTATGTATATGTAGTGTGAAAATGTATGTATACGTAACGTGACAGTGCATGTGTATGTAGTCTGTATGTATATGTAGCGTGACAGTGCATTTGTATGTAGTATGTATGTATATGTATCGTGACAATCGATGTGTATGTAGTATGTATGTATATGTAACGTGACAGCGCATGTGTATGTAGTATGTATGTATATGTTTGTAGTACGCACACAGAGACCACATTCTATTGGCACATATCAATAGATATCAGCAGATACCATACCAATGTATGTAGTATATATATATATGTATATATATATATATAGTATGTATGTATATGTAGTATGTATGTACATGTAATATGATAGTGTATGTATACCTGATACGATAGTGTATGTATACGTAGCATGACATCCCTACACATCCCCAGACACCATACCATTGACATGCTCTACCATGCCCTTCGCACACGCCTGTTACACGAGTGCACTCTGAGTTGTCACGCAGTCTATGAGCACCCACTCGCCCTCTCTGAGTCCCATCTCATAGTTAGGCGCATGGGGTCCGCTGGTGCTGCTGGTGTGGGTTATATCTGTATTGGTGTGTTCTATTAATAGCCCCCCTCCTTTGCCCACGCGACTGGTCGCCGTCAGACCGCACCCGAACTGCAGGGCCGAAATAGTACAGGACAAATAAGGACAGGATCGATAAGGACAAGTCAATACGCCATAGGTTAGGGACGAGAAAGAAAAGGACAAATAGTGACAGGATTGACAAGGACAACTGGATGAGCTCTGTGCTACAGACGAAAAAGAACAGGACAAATAAGGGTAAGAAAAATAAGGACAAATGGATAAGCCGGTTTGTTAGAGACAAAAAAGGACAGGCGAAATGAGAACATAACTAATACGGACAGGATCACACAGGTGGGGTACGTTCAGTCAAACACTTACATATGACCGTCGAGTTCCGGCAATGACAGTAATAATACTTCGGTCGAGTGGGATGTTCTCCATAAGAAACAACTTAGTGTCCGCTGTACAGGCTTGATCGCCTATAAATCGCGTGTGGTCTAGTCTCAGTAGCACCTACAATGGTTGGAATACAGGCCAGAGAGTGAGAAACGCGTGATTGGGTGATGCGCTATAATACGGTATAATAGTAAAGTGATACTATATATATATATATATATATATATATATATATATATATATATATATATATATATATATATATATATATATATATATATATTATATATATATATATATATATATATATATATATA